TTCAGCCTCGGCTGTAGCGGTCAGGCCACAGGCAGCAGCTCCATCTGCACGTCAGGGCGGCAACACAATCTGGCCATCAGAAAAGAAGACCCAGCTAGTGTCCGCTGCGGTCTCATATTTGAACGCTCAGAATCCGAACAATCACGTAGATCCTGCCAGAGTAGTGAGCATATTGGATGGAAATCCTTCCTACATCGACCTGTGCCAGCAATTAGAAAACATGGGTCTAAAGCTTGACCGTGCAGCCTTTGCAAAGAATTTGCTTACCGCAGTACCAGACGTCAATTCGTCGACGCGAAAAGCAGCACCACAGCCTGTGCCCGTACAGCGACCCCAGGTGCCTGCTGCTATCATGAAAAAGGAAATTGCTACGCCTGCTGCAGCAAGCCCAGGATTCACACCCGCTGCTGCTTCCCCAGCAAACGGATCGTCGTACCCGCCTTTTCCGGATAACGCATCGCCGGCTGCCACGCCTGTCCCAGTTGCTGAGATGATTCCTATTAAGCCTGAACTTAAACCGCCGGCCAACAAGGAAGAGGCCGCCCGGAAACGCAACCTCTCCGAACTCGTTGACCTGACACTACTTGACGACGAAGAAGATATGGGACCACCACCGAAGAGAGTTAACGTCGATGCCATGTATGGCTATGGATCGCCACACCTTGAGGAGGATATGATCGTTGACAGCGAACCTGTCAATAATTTCCCCATCGCTAGTGTTCCGCCACGTGTCGTACCTGAGTCGGCCCCGCTGATTGCGCCGCCCATCGATCGCGAGATCCGGTATAGGGCTATTGTCGAGCCTCTTGACAAGAAGAAAGCCCTCCGCCGAAACACTTACAACCCCGCCACCATTGCTCGCGACGTTCTCCTCGCAAGCGGAAGGCACCCTTCGGAGAGGCAGCTCAATCAGCATCTAGATGTCTTGCGCGCAAATCTTCCACATATCGGATTTGACTCTGACCTGAGCACGATCAAGTGGGATATCCTAGATCCGGGCAATCCACCTCCAGGATATTTTAAAGACAGTGTCCAAGCTCTGACCGAGGACGCTGATGATGAGGACGATTCTGAGGACGATGACCAGGAAGTTCGTCCGCGGGCACAGTCGAACGCGATTGGCGGTGAAAGTGGGGCTCAAGCAAGGGTCCAAGCTTTACCGGAGGCCATCAACCCATTCAAACAGAAGAAGCGTGGTCGTCCAGCACGTCAATCGCTTCCCAACATCACAATTCCAGCTACACCTGAACGTTCGCCAAGTGCCGCCAACATGAGCGCAAGCGCTCCACGACCAAGCGCCGCGAGTGTTGGATACAGGTCCTTCCATTCTGCCACTGAATACGGACCTGATGGACAACCACTACCCAAGAAGAGAGGACGTCCTGTCGGCTGGAGGAAAGCCATCCACGGCTCCGTTGCCGCTCAGTCGAAACCAGCTGCAAATGGCCATACCGGTACCTTAAACAAGCATCAGCCTACACAGCCTAGCAGTTTGCGGAATGTAAGAACTGGTGGGGACGATCCAATCCGCATTGATTCCCGGTCGCCAAGTGTCGCCAATCGTGTCCCTCGCTATCAGTCGTACCAATGCAAGTGGCAGCATTGCACAGCTGAGCTACACAACCTTGAGACACTGCAGAAGCATGTTTTCAAAGTGCATCGAAAGAAGACTCCCCAAAACACTTTGGAATGCTTATGGGGAGACTGCGGCAAGGAAGTGACAAATTTCGACCGTAACACGAACATGCGGATCGAGAAACATTCGCCCTATTCTTTCGATCTGGAGAGCAACTGGAGGAACCACATCAACCAAACCCACTTTGATCCGCTGTCATGGGAGCTGGGTGATGGGCCTGCCAGTGGTCTCTCCGGTAACGAAGCTTGAGCGTCTAACCACGCACATCATTATCTGACAGACTGTATAGACGCGCATGATTCAGAAGCCTACCTGAGCGATGCTCAAGGCCGTCAAATCACTCCGCGCATCACAGTCGATCGCGATCATATCGAAGAAGACCTTACATCTCCACCAGTTTCTACGTCTACTCCCCGTGGTCGCGGTCGGCCACCGAAAAGCACACAGGAGAAGGAGGCGCGTGAGGCGCAAGAACGACTGGTGTCACATAAGCGGCGCATCGGCGGCCCAGGCATGGATCGTGGAGGCGCGACGCTCGTCAACGATAAGCGCAGGAAAGGGTTCATGGACAGCGACGGGACGGAAGAGGAGCTTGTAGATGCTGAGGACTAGATGATGAGTTGGGAGATTGTGATTTTGGGTCAATTGATCCACTGGCATTAGCGTGGTGTTTGATTCTGGCCGATGAAGCTCTCTTGTATTGACGAATGCAAACACAATGCCGGCTCCTTTCAGGAGAGGGTATAGCAGTAAATTCAAATATTCCAAACATCCCAGCAGCCCTTTGATATATGCGCCGAGACTCCACGTGTGCTGCATAGCTCACTTTTGACCGGCCGAATCGCCAATCGTGCGTCTTCAGTTTCTCCATGAATCCTTTGGCCCGTCGTCATGGCGTCCGACATGACGCTGATTGCGGTCTTCCCCTCTGCTGATGTACAAGTCTCTCAATTCACAACCTCCTTGTTCTTGGCCTTTGCTGTCGCGACTTTTGGATTTGCCAGCGCTGCGTGTTCTTCTGAGTTGACCTCGAGGAAGTGATAGAGGACGATGAGCATCATGGCGGCGCTTCCGAGGAAGATGGCGAGCGAGTAGAGTTGGCTGTCTGTTATCATTTTGGCTGCGACGGCGCGTTCGATGGGAGAGGTGAGTTTATAGAACTTTCTAGGGCGCGGTTAGCAGGGCAATTGAACAGAACAAATCACTGGACCTCGTACGGAAGCTGTGGGGTTGAATGAAGAGGTGCAGCACTGAAGATTCGAGCTGTTTGTGTTGTGATGTGATTCGTATGTTCATGTGAAGGCCACCTTGAGCTTCGGAAAGTCGGCGGGTGAGGGCGGGCTCGAGCGCAGGGCCACCAAGCATCTTTCCCGCTCCACCCCACACATCGTCATTCTCACTTTGACACACACTCAGCCTTAGCACATCGACCGCCCCCGGGTACCACGCCACCATCAACCTGCGCCTCCGGAATTTTCGAGCGGTTCATTCACCCACACTCATTTAACCTCAGCGCCTGCCAGAATGCCACCAAAAGGCAAGGGTGAGCAGCCAAAGGTGAAGAAGGTCGCGGTGGACAAAACTTTTGGCATGAAAAATAAAAAGGGTGGCGCCGCACAGAAACAGATCAAGCAAATCAATGCCACCGCCGCCGCAGGAGGCACCCCCGAGCAGAAGCGCAAAGAAGCCGAAAAGCTGCAGAAGGAGAAGGAAAAGCTCGCCGCGGAGCAAGCCCGCAAAGAGACAGCGGACCTCTTCAAGCCCGTCCAGATCCAGAAAGTTCCCTTTGGCGTCGACCCGAAAACAATACTATGCCAGTTCTTCAAGAAGGGCAACTGCGAGAAGGGCAAGAAGTGCAAGTTCTCGCACGATCTCAACGTGGAGCGCAAGACTGAGAAGCGGAGTTTGTACACGGACAACAGGGACAAGGAGGAAGATGAGGACGATGTGAAGAAGAAGGATAACATGACCGACTGGGATGAGGAGAAGCTACGGAGCGTTGTCCTCAGCAAGCAAGGCAACCCGAAGACCACGACTGATAAAGTGTGCAAGTACTTCATTCAGGCCATTGAGGATCAGAAATATGGCTGGTTCTGGGTATGCCCGAACGGGGGCGATCAGTGCATGGTAAGCATATCCATGTACGGCTTGACTGCGAGACAAACGCTGACTTCGTACCCGCGCCTTCTAGTATAAGCACTCGCTACCACCTGGGTGAGTCTCAACACATATCTCAACCTGGAACTCATATGCTGATCGATCATAGCTTCGTCATCAAAACAAAAGAACAACGCGCCGCCGAAAAGGCCCTCATGGCAAACTCCCCAATGGCCACGCTCACACTCGAAGACTTCCTCGAATCCGAACGACACAAGCTTACTGGTACGGGCACACCCGTCACCGAAGAATCTTTCGCGAAGTGGAAGAAGGAGCGCATCAGCAAGAAGCAGGCAGAGGAAGAAGCCAAAAAGATGAAGGAAGCGACTGGTCGTGCCATGTTCGAGCAAGGCGACTGGCAGGACAGCGATGCGGATAGTGACGATGAAGAGGCGGGATGGAATCTGCAGGCTATGCGAAGGGAGACGGAGGCGGCGAGAGCGAGGAAGGAGGAGGAGCGGTTGGCCGCGTCGATGGGTGAAGTTACGATATCCTGAAGCACGGCACACTCCTGTCAGGGTGGGACTGAGGAAGATACAGACGGCCGATTCAATTGCCACACAACGCTGCAAAAGCTTGCGGGGTAGCCCAGGGCTGCGAGTCAGAGGAGGACACGGATTGACAACATTGTCAGTGGGGCATTTGTTTACTTGCACGAAGTTTAGCATTTTTGCGGCATGTGTGACTTGACATTACTCCTGGTCTAAGTGCTAGACCATCAGGTGTCTGGCGTTCGGTGGATGGGTCATGGTTATACTGTGTACGGCAGATCTACGAATATATGCATGAGTCAAGCGAGTCAAGGTAAATAGTGTTACTTCTCGATCATGTGTTGTAGCATATGGAGGGTTGGAACATACTGTTCAAGTTAGTTTTATCACCACATCCAACAGAACATTGCTTCTCGTCGTTATCTCTCCCCTGTGCATGATGATACAGCCCAATACACTTGCGATATTTTACACCCATGATTTAAATGCACATATACGCAAGACTCGCTTTATCCCAACACCATCAGCACTAGTCACCAGTCCTTCCGCCCACCCCACTACCCCACTTCGCTTCCATCCGATCTCGGGAGCCCACGACTACCCCCACCACCATGGTCAAAAAAACCTGCCGTATCAACGCAGATACGCATTGCTAACGTAATGCAACTATGATAATAAAAAGTATAATCCAAAAGTTAATCACACATCATCAAATCGGTCGATTAGCTCAGTTGGTTAGAGCGTGGTGCTAATAGCTTCTGCTTGACACGCCAAGGTCGCGGGTATGTTATCTCACACACCATCGCAGTTACGCAAATACTAATATCAATCAGGTTCGACCCCCGTATTGACCAAGAATACCTTTTTTTGCGTTGTCATGTGCCTGTCGCTCTGAAGCAAAGTGGTGGTTGGTAAGATGGTCTTTTTTGAAGGGTGTGGCTGGTTTTTTTGGTGAGGGAGAAACCTCTGAGTGCTTTTCGAGGCCTAGGCACCGGATAAAGGATATTTTGGTGCTAACGACGATATGAAACTGTGAGTATTTGCTTTAAAATTTCGCTGATCACTGCATGGCAACTTGTCTACTTCCCCTTTCTTCCATTTCTGCAATAGTAGCGCCCAACCTTTTATCCCGCAGTGTGTTGAGCCCGTTCGGCCGCTCTCGTTCAACAGCAATAGATGCACCCTTAGCTATAAGCTCCTCAAGTTGATTCTCCCGAGGCCCTCTCCCACTCCGTCACTCGTGGCCATGTTGCTGTCTGAGTGTACAGACGGCGCCCATGACGCCGTGCCTGCACTCAGCTGGTAAGAGTCACTCGCAAGACTAGGAGATACGGTGGTGAACTTCACACTGAATATTTCTACAATGAAGTACGGGATCGCATCGAAATAGGTAGCGTCACTGCGGCATGCATATGAAGGAGGTCAGCCATATTCCAAGGTGTATGGTGAAAGTGAAAAGAGGTTTCACTCGACTTTGTACATGAGTCTTGATTAAATGCTAAAGTGCATCATATGTCCGCTGTGGCGACAATCTCCGTCGTTTGTGACAGTCTTCCTGATGTCGCCAGTCACCTCATCCGTATGAAGTAGTGCGTCAAGGCCTCGTAGAGTTCCTTGGACTGGTACAAGTTACCCGGAAACAACCGTGACAATAATCTTGTCGGAAGAAAAGATGAAAGTGTTCGCAGTAGTCAAAGAAAGTCGTCTACGTTGTTGCTCTTTTCTGAAAACATGTACCCTCCAATACTGCCCAAGACAACTCATAGCGCAATCCCAGAACGCACCAAGCACGGCCCAAAGGGCTCAGGAAGCACTAAGTCCTTCCATTTCAGCAATCACCGTGCTCAGCCATTGCTCTTCGTCTCGAAATATCTCAACCCTGTGTAGTCTCTCCCGTTCCGCAGTGATTGTCGCCCGCTTCGCCTGGAGATTCTCGAGCGTCCCAGCTGGATTGTTTCCATTCCTCGCGCTCGAGGGCCGACTCCTGCCCGAACTGACCAGAGATGTACGTGACAGATTGGTCGCAGCCAGCTCATAGGGGTGGCCCCAATGGTTGTTTCGGATGGATCTCGCGGGATGAGGCCAACTACCGTTGTCGCTAGACTTTGGAAGGTAGGCTAAGTTGTCGTCGCTGTTCAGTTCGATAACGCGGGGGGAAGTCACTGCTAGTTCCGAAAGTTGCAAAGATCCGGGGGTAGACATGATTGCAACGGGTAGCTTTAACTGTGGCTTTGGGAATACAGTCTCCTCGTTTCGCTCACGATCTCTCAGATCTTGTGGTACTAGAGCGGAGTCGTCTTTGCCTCGTGCCGCAGTCGCTTTTCTATTTCGCAGACAGAGAAGGAAGGCAAGAAACGCTGACATAAAGAGAGTGAGTGACATGATGACAGCTACCGCCGTTCCAGCGCCACTAGACCACCGGCCCCCATTAGCTGTACCTTCCAACGCCGGCGGTTCTGATGCTGGGGCACTCGGGCTAGCTCCATCTGGGAACTGTGTTGATGTCGATGCAATGGCGTAACGCAATTGAATGGCGGCAGCGCTCATCATGAATGGTGGGTCTCCCGAGCTCACTGTAGTCTACTCTCTCGCAAATTCGGGGACAACCCTAGTCGCATACACGGTTATGTCCTTCTGGTGACACTTTCCTATGGTGTATGTGAGGCTTGGACCTGCGTAGCAACCTCCATCCGATTTCCAACCCATTCCACTGATACATATCGAGTTAGCATTGCTTTAGTTGTGTGATGTGGTATAGAGATCATCCACGTACGAAAGACAACAGATGACGCCGGCTTCGCCGGCACTGATTCCAGGAAATATGTTCGTGTCATCACCAACCGTGACCGTCGACCAACCAGCCGGACAATTTGACGCGGGTGAGAAGTATAGTGACGTTGCGTATCCGCGAATACTGCTGTCGTATGTTTGGCTTAGGAATTGAGTTCCCGATGGCCAACATGCGGCGTCAGTAGTGTGTTGCAAAGCGTTTGTAAATCCGTCTTCACCAGACGGTGTAGTGCAAGTGTTTCCTAACTGTGCAGTACAAGCATCCCGGGCACAATAGCCAAGAATGGCGGTACTGCAGCTTGTAGGAGGGGAGAAGGCTGTTGTCATCGGTCCGAGGTTCGTCATAGCGAATGTTTGAACGGAGTACGGAGCTTCAACCCCAGGGCCTGTACATGAGTGGTAGTGCTAGAGAAAGAGTCATCATGTTTGTTTCCAACAGGGTAATGCCTCAGCCCCTATAACGCCAGCACGCAAAGTGACTGTCATGGTCTTAGTTCAGGATGAAACCTCGGCCTCATCTAGCGTGCTGCGTTCCGGAGTTGCTCGTTGCCGTACACGAATCTTTTTCGTTTCCTGAATAACTGCGTGAATGGTTTCAGGATCCGCTATTAGAAGAGAAAAATTAACGCGACCTTGTTGTCACCGTCTAAATCGGACGAGGTCGGCGCTGTGTTGATTCTCAGTCAAGCCAAATTTTGGGACATGCCCAACAGCGAGCTGAATGATAAATGGCACTGTGCTTGGTCGCTCGGCTCGACACTGCATTTCGGCCTGGAGAAGTGTCTCAGAGCGGCCCATCTCGTCGGCGAGAAGTCGTCCGGACAATCTGAAGGAATCGCAACAATTCCAAGCATGGACTCGACGTACGTTCACTGTCCATCAAGATATCTTGCATCCGTTTTCGGTGAGTCTTGAACCTCAACGAGGTTGGTAAACGGCGCTCTCAGCTGTGTGTCCCAGATCGTTGTCATGCTGATTGCATGGGAGCGGAAGGTGCTGTTTCATTCATGGCTCGCAAAAGCACGTCTGACGCCACACCATGGCCCAGTAGGTGTTCGCTGTTCGTCATGTCTTACTGTGTTTGCCAAGCAGAACAAATTTGGTACGAATCAAGACCCTTTGATGTTGGTGGAAAAGGAACGGGACTTTGCTCGGAGGCGAGTGGTACATCATCGGATGCTTGAATCAGGAGAATTTGGCCTCGCACGAGCTCTCTGAGGATCTGAAGATGCTGACGGTCACATTCACAAGGGACATTTACACGGTAAGTGTAGTGTCGGAATGTGGAGACGTTACTAACGCAACACGTGCCCCTTCCCCGAGTTTTCCGCGCTTCTTTGTCTGACATTAACCGAAACGGGGAAGGCGCGTTAGGTGGCTTGGCAATATATGCCGCGCAACACTTCCGCCCACGATCCCCGCAACATGACGGCATGCTCCACGGCGCGCCTCGAACGCCCAAGATCGAAGACCTGCACAACCGATTTTATTGCCGGATACGCTACCAGTCCCGTGCTAAGTGCCATGGATCCGGCGTCTGGCACTAAATTGGGCCTCTTAAAGAGGCCTGTCGCGCTGTTGCAGATGATCTTCAATCTGGTTAATATATTCTTGCTGTCATCTATTACTGCCACGGGGTGAAGCATCGTACCTTTGTACCATATCGGCTCTAGTTATACCGAATCTCTGTTCATATTGTGTAATCCCTTGAATCCATACCGACGGCTACGACATGGCGGTGGAGAACTACGATATCGTTATTGTTGGCGCGGGACCTGTTGGTCTTTGCCTATCAACATGTCTGGCACGATGGGGTTACAAGATCAAGCACATCGATAACAGGCCAGAACCAACACCAACCGGACGGGCTGATGGCATCCAGCCCCGCTCGCTTGATCTTCTGCGGAACATGGGATTGAAGCGGAAGATTATGGAACACGAACCGGCGAAGGTGTATGAGGTTGCTTTCTGGGATCCAGCCGCAAAGGGAATTCACCGAACAGGAACATGGGCGAGTTGTCCGAAGTTCATCGATGCCCGATACCCCTTCACAACGCTACTACATCAAGGCTTGATCGAGCGCGTTTTCATTGAGGACATGGAGAAGAGCGGAACACAACTACAAAGGCCATGGACAATCACTGGATTCAAGAACGATGGCAAAGACCCAACTTACCCAGTCGAAGTCAACTTGGCGCATGTCGATGGCACAATGTCAGAAACCGTACGAGCAAAATATCTGTTCAGTGGAGAAGGCGCAAGAAGTTTCGTACGCGACCAGCTTGGTGTAAAGATTCGCTACAAGGATCCAATTGCCCACGTTTGGGGTGTCATGGATGGTGTAGTGCGGACAAACTTCCCTGATATCAAGGTACGTCCTATTTACATATGTTGTGTGGCCATGTCTGATAAAGCACCAGATGAAATGTACGATCCACTCCGATGCCGGCAGCATAATGGTCATTCCTCGCGAAAACAACATGGTCCGCCTCTACATTCAAGTCGCCAGCTCCACGGACAAAGACTGGGATCCGCGCAAAACCGTCACTGCAGAAGACACTCAGCGACTTGCTCAGGAGATTCTCAAGCCATACACCATCACATGGGACCGCATCGAGTGGTACTCCGTCTATCCCATTGGCCAAGGTATTGCCGAGCGCTACACACTCGACGAGCGCGTCTTCATGGGTGGCGACGCATGCCACACCCATTCACCAAAAGCAGGACAGGGCATGAACACCGCATTCCTGGACGCAGTGAACCTAGCATGGAAGATCCACCACGTGGAGTCCGGCTGGATGCAACGCGACATACTCAAAACCTACGAATCCGAACGCCAACTCATCGCCGAAACGCTTCTCGACTTCGACGCCCGCTACGCCAAGCTCTTCTCTACACGCATCCCCTCGGCAGGCGAAGTCGCCGGCGCCGCCTCTAACGAGCCCGTCGAAAACGAATTCATCAAGACCTTCAAAGCTTCCTGCGAATTCACATCCGGCTACGGCGTAGCTTACAACCCCAACACCATAAATTGGGGCCCGGAACACCCGTCCCAACACCCTTT